GAGGACAGGCTGTGCTCTCACTGTGACCCTCTGACCTCTGGGTGGTGGTGAAGACAGACCTACACTGCCTAACAGAGCACCCAAATATTCAAATATGATTCAATCAGACTATTCTGTGAGGTTTGCAAGATTGCAGTAAAAACTGCTCTTAGGACAGAAGAGTCAGATTGATCATACAGGCAGCACGATGTGGTATCATACAACATAAGAGATGACCAATGAGGAAAAGCATCAACTTATGATTGAAAAGACAGTCAGACATACAGACAGATAGAGACAGACATACAGACAGACAGACAGACAGAAGCAAAAAATATATTATTTTGTTCTGTAGTGTATTTTTGCTCTTATATATATTGTTAATTACTTTTGCAATTATATAATTTGTAAAATAGAGAGACTGAGGAGGCAGAGAGAAGAGAAAGGACAGGTAGGTAGGTAGGTAGGCAGGTAGATAGACAGACAGATAGATAGATGGATAGATAGATAGATAGATAGATAGATAGATAGAGAGAGACAGACAGACAGACAGACAGACAGATATAGGCTATAGGGTAGATAGGCTACCTATTCTCTTTTCCCTCTATGCCATCTCAAACCCAACACAACACACGAACACAGACTCTCAGCACAGCACACATACAACATTTCATGACCACTGACCCTCCTCCTCTTCTCCTCATGCAATCAGAATTTTATCCCTGTTTTCCTGCATGCCTCCTCAGTTACTAGACATTTCCCCAAACAAACGGCTTCAGAGATGCCTTCTCCCACCTTTTCTAAAATCACCACCCACTAAATCCGCATCTCTGTGTCTATCTTGACTGTCCATTTCACCCCCCATCACCCCCCCTCTCTCTTTCTCTGGGCCGGTGGAATATTCCCAGACGTAACAGCATTCCAGAGCTCCACACACAAACAACAAGGTCATTGTTTACAGCGGAACAACCTGTAACACTGCCTGGACGGCCCTCCGGAGAGGCCACCCCGTCTCCATGACAACGCCCCCTGAAGTCTCCAGCACTGGGGCAGTGTTGTCATGTCAACAACGTGGGGGGAGCGTACCAATGTCAGGAGGAAACGAGGGCAGAGGGGGCGCAGGTGACCCGGATGCATGGTTTAATTCAAGTGGAGGGCATCTGGACAGTTCTGGGGCTCAAAAGGATTTAATGGGCAATTAGAGCGAGGTGTCCAATTCCAGTCCTGGCCCAGAGTCCAGCAAAGTTTAGAGATTTCAAGGGATGGGCATAAAAAAAAAGATGCACTGGCGGAGTTCGCATGTTGGCCTTCACACTTTCAGTATGGTAGCATCATGCGATGGGGGAGCATCTAACTAGCGGGTGGAACTGACCATACCCAATAAGCCAGCAGGCCCAGTTTATCACATTGCTGCCGCCGAAAGGATAACTTTGTAGAAGAATGAAAAATTTCTGATAAGCCGAAACATTGTGCCTAATACGCAGTTGATCCTCTGTGTGCTGCCAAAACATTTCTGACTCGCCGAGTCATTTACTTTACAAGACCTCTGAAGGTGCCCTGTGGTATATGGCACTAAAATGTTAGCAGCACATCCTAAAATCTGGAGTAAGTGGAGCAGCCGCAGATCGGACTTCTTGTTCCAGCACATCCCACAAGCACTTGATCAGACTGAGATCTGGGGATTTTGGAAGCCAGGGCAACACCTTGCACTCTTTGTCATGTCCCTCAAACCATTCTTAAACAATGTGAGCTGTGTGGCAGGGAGCATTATTCTTTGGAAAGTGGCCGCTGCCAAAAGAGAATACATTTGCCATGAAGAGGTGAACCTGGTCTGCAATAATGTTTAGAGAATAGGCTCTTGTCAAATGATGTCCTCATGAAAGCCTGGATGCAAGGTTTCCTAACAGAACATTGCCCAGAGCATCACACACCCTCCACTGGCTTGTCATCTTCCCACAGTGCATCCTAGTGCGATCACTTCTCACATATGGGCACCCAAAACCCTGAAGCCGGTTTGTGATTTGTCCCTCCTTGAACCACGGCCCACAGGTAGACACCACTGCTGACTGGGAACACAAGCCTTGCCGTTTCAAAGATGCTCTGACCCAGTCGTCTGGCCATAATGATTTGGTCTCCATACCTGCCTGTTTCTCCCACATCCAAAACGTCAACTATGACCAACTGCTTGCTTACTGTCTAATATATTTCAACGTCATTCGCTTCATCTGCGAGTGGTCATGTTTTGGCTCTTAGATGTATATTAATACAGCAAGATTTTATTGCAAGTAATTTTGGTCCATTTATAAATGTATTTTTTTTAAAAAGGGTTACAGGGTTTTGATATGACAGTAACAAGAAAATACATGATTTCCTTTTTTTAATATTACAAACGTTGCCTTCCTCGAATACTAAGATGAGTTGAGATATCTGCATTTTCAAACAGATCATCCCTGCACAAACAAATCTACTAAACCTGCTGAACTGAATCAGGTATGTCTGGGAAATCACCAAATTTTGATCCACCGGAGCTAGACACCCCTGGCATGAGCCAAGTCCTGCAAAGGTCAAAGAGTCTGCTTTCAGGTGAGTAACCAACACAGAGACCTGTTCCTGTCACAAGCAGCATGAAGACTTACAGTATATTAGGTGGTCCATCTAAAATGGAGCAAAACACTGACAACACACATCACGTCCAGTAATAATGACCTCACTTTCCAGTACTTCAGTGACCTCAGTGGCAACCTTCAGTAACTCACTTTCTCCATCTTTCTTTTACTGGCACAATGAGCATCAGTGCAGCCTTTGTACTGCCAAAGCACTGCTTACAAAGCACAGATGTCGTACAAGAATTAAGAAGATACACTAGATTGTGAGAAAGTGAATTATCAATCTCTCTTTCAAAGCAAAATTTCCTTGCACTCCTACCAAAATTTTGGGGGTGCCTAATTTTATCCTCCTGTTGTGATGCCAGCACTCATCAGTCTTCAGATGTTTAAACCACCCTTTGAGCCTAAAGATTTTCAATATGTGCTTTTATCCAATGTTTGTAAACAAAAACTGTCAAATCATTATCTAGGCAAAACCTGCTCTTCCTACCTAGGAAGACAGTATGGCTGCACGATTAATTACATTTTAATTGCGAAGTGAGTGTAATGATCACATCAATGAGGGCTGCAATGGCAAACCAGGTTAAATAACATTACACAATTAGACATGACCTAACTAGACTGGCAGGAAAGTAATGTTAGGATTAGTGTCTAACATTAGAGCAGCGTTGTTTTCCAGTGAGTAAGGTTTGAACCTGGTCTCCCATGTGCAGAGCAAGTGATTCAGCTACTATGCAACAGAGCCAATTACAAACTTCAAATGAGTTGACTATTTTAATCCCAGTGTTGAAATATGTGAAGTAGCAAATAACCTGCATCACCACTGAAGACTTTTTAATAAGTCAAATACAAGTTTGAGGTACCTGAATTAAAAAGCTATTTATCTGGGCAGTAAGTATTTATTCTCTCAGAAAAACACTAATACTACAATGAATAATATAATTAGTGATTTTATGTACATAAATGTGTTTGTTTAGCCATTTCCAAACCTCTCCTTTTGGCAGCACTGTATTATTTGTAGTTCATTAAATAACTGGTTTCTTGTTACTTTTATTACTTTTCATTGTATTTTCAAGTTTTTCTATTTATTCTTATGATATATTTTGATTTTACAAGCAAACACAATTATCGTTAAGATAAATTACTTTAAATCATGTGCTTAAGTGCCTCAGACGTCTGCACAGTACTGTATATTTTATTGCTTTTTTGTCTATATTTATTGCTTTGATTTTTTCATTATTTTGAACACTTTTATTGCTTTTTCTAAAAACATTTGTTTCTGTTGGCATAAATAGAAATTACTAGAAAAAAGCTATTCAGGGGATGCTGACCGTTTTTCTTATAGGCTTATAGTACATAAAAGATGTGCCTGCAGTATTTAGTTATTTTAATTTGCGCTTAGCGTAATAGTAAATGGTGTTTTTGGAATTTTTGCATTTTTGATGTTGGAGTGAGGTCACACAGCAAAAGAAGCCTGTTTTTACAGCACATCTAATCAGAGACACACTTTTTAAATGATAATTTATTATACCATCATTGTAATTACACAGCTTCACAATTGATGAAAATGAAGTTGGTGTTACAAAACAGCGGTTTCAAAAAAGTGTCCTATTGGCAGGTGCTAATCAGTAATTTTATTTTGTTCTTCCGTTGCTAAAATTAGGGAGGTGATGTGGTGTCCCTAGCACAGGTCAGAGTGCAGGCATGTGGACCAGCTGTGGGCGGGTGGTCCCTCAGTACCAGGGCAGCAGCTGGGACTCTGGTGGTCAGTCTTGCTCGCGTCTGAGCTGGAAGCTCACGTTTCTGCAGGCCGTGCCAAGCCCCTCTACCAGCAAATTCCAAAATGGTGGGCTAAAAACAACGAGCCCGCAACTGTGTCAACACAGGCACTCTTCTCCCGGACACATTCCACAGGCTGGAAGTGGGTGCACACGCACGCACGCACGCACGCACGCACACAATGCCCTCTCATGTTACTTTTAAAGTGCCACATGTCATACCTGCACGCAATGGGAAGTGCCACACCCCAACATTCTTGCCATCTCTACTAAAGTTGCTGCATCTACAGACAGAGAGTCTCCAGCTTATCTGGCAGGTTAAATCATTACCCATTAAAGAGACATGCACATAGACAAATACACATCAATAACCCTGCTACTCTCCCACATAATGCGTGCTTCCAAAAAAAAAGCCTTTCATGTACAAAATCGGCCTCAGCGGCCAAAGTTTCAAACCAAACCAGCAGTTGAACCTGATTTGCAATTCTGACCAAGCCCATGTGCTTCTGTTTAGACGGAAAAAAATCATTTGTCTTTAAATAAACTTTGACAATTTTGTCTGCATTCTCATGAAAGGATGTGACTGTCTCATCTGTACAAATCTGTGAAGCAGATGTAAGTGTGTGCATGCTGTTACCTCAGGAGCCAGATACTCCGGAGTACCACAGAAGGTCTTCATGGTGGCTCCGTCCTTTATGCCCTCCTTACAAAGCCCGAAGTCTGTGATCTTTATGTGGCCATCTTTATCCAGCATCAGATTCTCCAACTGAAGAAGCCAGAAAGCGAAAAGAAGAAAGACATGTGAGACAAAGATTCCATGAATGGAAAAGATGATAACATTCACGTTCACATTCATTTCTCCCCTCCTGTTCCATAAAATAGTTTATTCTTGCAAATGTTGAATTAAAAATTATTTAAAATCATTGTCCTCATAATGCTTCACAGTTTTTTAATTTATTTAATTATGTATTTTTTGCTGGTATATCTTCTGTGTTAAAACATGTTTGTGATTAGTGCTGTCAAATGATTAAAACTCAATTAATCAGAATTAATTGCATTCTTTAGTGCAGTTAATCTGGATTAATTGCATTTGTCCTATTTGCTCAAATTTGATCCTTAAGGATGTTTTTCCATTTTAAAAAGCAGTGCACTATGTTATAGCAATTTAAGTGAACAAAATACACTTTATCAGCATGTATTCATTATTTTCAATTCAACAAAATGAAGTTTACATGAATTGAACAGGAAACTCATTTGAACGCAGTGGCTAGATGTTCCAACCCCTCAAGTATTGTAGCCTCTCGCTCTCATATCGCTATGCTACATCTTGTTTTGAGGGGAACAGTAGCTTTCTACTTTGTTGTTGCTTTTGTTAGTTTTGCTGATCACTGACTAATCCATAGTTCTTCCATGAACGCTGTCCAGCAAATTACTAATATTTCTGCATCAGTGGTGTGTTTAGCTTGTAAATGATGCTTCAGACTCTGTGTACACTATATGGTCAAAACGCTGTTGTTGGAGCAAAACCTTGTAAAAAAAATCTGCTTTACTTTCAATGTCAAAGTCAAAGGAACCAGACTTTCTTTCAAGTCATTCTGGGCCATTTCTTTTGGTCCATTTATCATAAAATTTACACACGATGTAAAGAGCAACAGACATTTTTAAATTATGTCAAAAACTGAAAAACGACAAAAATGGAGATACAAGATTTCCGACAACAGCGAAATGTATGTTGACACCCCTCCTAAATTACTAAGGTCAGGTGTTTGAGCCACACTCACTGCTAACACATATAAAAAACATAAAGTACACCATTCAATCTCAATAGCCAAACAGTGGTAGTAGAATGCACTGTACTAAAGAGCTCAGCAACTTAAAATGCAGCATAGCATGTCATCTTTGCCAAAAGTCAGTTTGTGAAATTGCTGCCCTGCTAGATCTGCCCCTATTCAACTTTAAGTGTCATTATTGTGAAATGGAAGCATCTAGGAGCAACAACAGCTCAGTGACAAAGCGGTAGTCCACGCAAACTCACCACTTGCTGAAGCACCTATCCTCTGTTGCATCCCTCACTACAGAGTTTCAAACTGCCTCTAGAAGTAACATCAGCACAAAAACCGTGCATCGGGAGCCAATCATAAATTTTGGTGGAGAAGGGATAATGGTCTAGTTGTTTTTCAGGGTTTGGGCTTGGCCCCTTGGTTCCAGTGAAGGCTAATGTTAAAGCTACAGCATACAAAGACATTTTGGACAATTAAATGCCTTCAACTTTGTGCCAGCATGACTGTGCCCCTGTGTAAAATGTGAGGTTCATAAAGACATGGTCTGGTGTGGAGGAACTCCAGTGGCCTGCGCGGTGCCACAACCACAATCCAATGAAACACCTTTGGGATGAACCAGAACGTTAACTGCGACCAGGCCTTCTCAACCAACATCAGGGCCTGACCTCACAAAGGCTCCTTTGACTGAATGGCCACAAATTTCCACAAACACACCCCAAAATCTTGTGGAAAGCTTTTTCAGAAGAGAGGTTGCTGTTATAGTCACAAAAGAGAGGCCAACCCCATATTAGTGCCCATGGTTTTTGGAATGGGATGTCAGGGTGGAACTACAAATGGTTTGAAGGGTTAAATCAGAGGCAAAGGTGTTAGCGGTGTTAGCTGTACATCATGTAAACAGGTTACTAACGCATCTTGATACATATTGACATATCATGTATTATGATAATATACCAGTGGTGTTATGTGCCATTTTTTCCATATCGTTCACTCTTAGTTAAAAAATCTAACATTAATAATGTGGTGGCGATCAAGACCAGACCGGGACCACACCACACATGCAAAATCTTCATTTTGAGGAGATCTTTTCAACTCTGTGCTTTATTCTATTTAGCTCTGTTACACCCATATTCTATTAGAATGGATTTAATTTGAGCTGACACTGAGAAAGATAGACCATCCCTCGAAACTGAATATGATACATCTATTCTGATTCTGCAGAGGATGATGAAGGAGCAGGGGGCACCTCTGGCCCAACATAGGTAGTGAGTAAGCACTCCAAGTGTGTGTGTGTGTGTGTGTGTGTGGTGTTGCACGGGTTTGATATCAGCATGTCCTCTCTCTCTGGGGCTGCTAAAAGTCACCTGGCAGCTGTAGCTCACACGTGGCCAGAGGCCCAGGCACACCAGTCAGCAAAACTGCCCCATCCTGCTACACTGGCACTTTCAGAGCAACCTTAGCAGCCTCAGTGAGAGAGAGAGAGATAGAGAGAGAGAGCGAGAGAGAGAGAGAGAGAGAGAGAGAGAGAGAGAGAGAGAGAGAGAGAGAGAAAGAAGCAGACAGAGACGGAACAAGGCAAGATAGAGAGAGGAGAGACAGAGAAATAGAGAGAGAGAGAGAAATGAATACGAGAGAGAGAAAGCGGCAAGAGAGAGGAAGAGAGAGAGAGAGAGAGAGAGTGTGTGAATAAGTGAGTGAGAGACAGGGGGAGGGACAGAAAATGAGGCGTAGAGAGAACGTCACCACAGAGAGAGAGAGACAAAGTGAGTAAGACAGATAGACAAAAAGACAGATAAAGTGGGAGACACAAAAAGACCCACTGAGTGTGAGCGTGTGAGAGAGACAGAGCAGAGAGAGAAATTTGCATAAAAGTTTGTACGCTTGCTTGAGGCAGACATATTTCTGCCAGTAAAAGAAATCTGTTAAATTTAGATGGAAAAGCATTTGCTGAACAAATTCCGTAACTGAGAGTAACATCATATGACCAAGCAGATGTTTCCGTTTTTGTCTCTTTAGTAGCTACAAAACATGACAGAAGACATCAGATCCCAATGAACTAACAAATGTATTAAAATGTGCCCTTATCAGAAAGAAAAAAGTGATATTAGATGGCCTTGAGCCATTTTACTACTATATGTTTTTGTGCTCATTTGATGTGAAATACAGTCATAAAATACACAAAACAGCGACAACAATCTGCTCCATATTAAAGATTTGTCTGTAAATTTGGACCATATTTCTCAGAAGTGTTTTTACAGATACAATGTTTTATTTTATTGTACAGAGCTGACGGAAACTCACTAAAATTCGCTTTTTGTTGCAACATTTCGCTTATTTTCTTTTATTTCATGTGACAGCTGGATGGAAACATGGCTAGGGATAGAAAAAAAAACGACAGAAAAAGAAAGAAAGAACAAGAATAAATGGAAGAAGAGAGGGAGAGACAGAAGGCAGGGACAGAGAGAAACATGAAGAGAAACAAGAAGTGTGCTCATTGTATCCTTTAGTTTCAGTATCTGGAATAAAGCATACATGTAAACAAAATTGGCTTTCACAACTGATATCAAGGATGGGATTTCAGGCAGTAGTGCTTCAGAACTAATTACTGCAGTTCTGTCTGTATGAGTGAGTGAATATAGAACTACGAGTGCTCTAATAAGGAAATGTCCCTAATAATGATGCCTCTGAAAGAGAGTGATAATGAAGAGAAAATAAAGTGTTCATGCTTCCTTCATCATCTACCATTAGTTTCCACCACAAGCGTTATTGTGATTTGAAAAACTCACCTTCAGGTCCCGATACACCACGTTCCTCTCTGAGTGCAGGTAGTCCAGCGCAGAAACTATTTCTGCTCCATAAAACCGTGCCCGATCCTCAGAGAACACTCGGTCCCGTGACAAGTGGAAGAAAAGCTGTGGGCAAAAACAGAGCATTTAGACTTTCCTATCACAGACAATGACTTTCTTAAATAGCTAGTAGTCTGATTTGCTGTCAAACTTTCTGTGTTTCTAGACTCACCTCTCCTCCGTTGGCATACTCCATGACGAAGCATAAACGGTCATGTGTTTGAAATGAGTATTTCAGCGCCTGAAAAGTGAAGATCAATGCAAATGTTAGAGAACACAGCCTTAAATTAACTTATATTGTCTAATATTGAAGTGCTGTGATACAGTATAGAAATATTTATAAAATAGCCCAAGAATTTTAATTTGACCAAAAAAAAATTAGCGCAAACTTTAAAAATATTAGAAATGATGCTGATAAATGATTACAATAGATTCCAAAGACCACATTACACCAAAAAGTGGCCATCTAACATGCACAAAAATTCAAAACCTTTGTTTTTAGTGAATGTGGACACAATTCAACATGGGTGAGGGACTTCCAGTGCTGCTCAATTTATCTGAACACCAGAGCGATTTCACTCAGCATTTCATCGTTATTGCACTACATTAAACCCTAAACTAGACGACAAAAAGCCATAATCAAGGACATATGACTTGATATTCATACCAGGAGATGAAGTCAGTCTCAAATTTCTAAGATAAAATGACAAATTCTAAACGCCACCTCAGCTAACTTTACTAGCCTAGTCACTTCGCAACCTAATTCACCTCATTCTTCTAACACAAAAACAAGAGTTAGTTAACTGATACTAAACGTGCTAAATTCACTGAATGATGTTAAAGTTTTATTCCATTAAATCTAAGTAGAGTGTAAAATTTATAGTGATTTTTTTCATTCTGTGTGCAGTAGCCTTAACATTCTGAAACTGATGCAGTCAAATCACCACCTCCAGATCGATATACCATGAAACACCAATGCATTATTACATCCTACATACAAAATGCTTTAAGAGAGAAAGGGGTGGACTAAGATCAGATTCTTGAATAGGATTATATTGAATTATTCAGAATTTTGTAAGCAAAAAGGGCGGTCCAAAGTTGTAAGAAAACAATTTCCATCTTTTGTTGAGTGAAAGGAAAGTAACAATCTGGATCATCATTCAGACATAAATGAGGCGACAATGGAATGTGATGAATAAGAAACATGGAAAGTACAGGGGTGGGTAACATGCGGCTCTTTTACCGCCCTGTTACGGCTCCACGACAGAATTACATTTTTAGGTAATAATTAAATAATCCTCCTTTGCAGTAAAATAAAGCTCTGCTGATCATTATAATACAGTTCCAACAATAAACTGTCTTAAACATTGGAGTTAATGTAAAACAGCTAATTCGCCAACCTTAACCCTGAAGGTTGGTGCGCAGACTGCTGGTCACCAGAGCAACAACAACAATCTCACCTAGCTAGCAGCTAACGAAAAAGCAAAGAGAGAGATGGTGGTTTTCTGATATGTTTCAGAAACTGTCAAAAAGTCGCGAAGCTGAAGTCAGTTCCTCGTCTGCCAACTTCTCATTTGAATTGTCCCATTCCACCTTAAATGGCGCAGCAGTTACATTCTGGCGCCTCAGGCACCATTAAAATTTGGACAAGAATCCAGAGAACGAGGAGCTGACTTCAGCCTCGTAAATAAAAAATATCGAACATCGAGAAACATTTTACAATAAACTGATTTGCTTTTGCAGTAAGGTTCCTGCCAGAGATGCGAGAAAAGTGGTTGCAACTGAGCTAAAACTTAAAGCAGAGCAAAGTAAGTCTGTGTTCTCATTTATATTATACGTATTTACAGCCAAGACGGTAAAATGAACATAAAATGTTGTGGCTCCCAATGTGGTTTGATTTTTGCTGAAAGGACACAATGGCTCTTCTTAACATTTGGGTTGCTGACCCCTGGGATAGCATATTAACTGTAAAAATCCATAGATCTAATAATTTAGCCCTTTCCAAGAACATGTGCTCAAATGCAGCTGGTACTGTAGCTGGAAATACGCTTCATCTGGAACCTTCTGTAAGGAGTTGCATATGCTCTGTGAATTGCTTTATAGCAGATAAGCTGATGGGGCAATTTTTAATGGTTTGACTCAGATTAGACCAAATAGTGTCCCAATCTAAAGCAATGCCAAAAGAGGAAAGCTCTTGCTCCCATAGTTGTTCTGCTGCCAGCCAGACAGTGCACATATTTGCTGCATCCCTATGCATTTTGAGTTTCATTGGAGCAAAAAATGTGGACCATCTTAAGGGGCCTTGAGAACTGGTTTCAGAACCACTGGTGTAAATTACTGTGTGCTACAAATCAAACCTGACCCAGATGCAGCATTATTCCTGGTCTGATCTGCTAGAGGACAATGGCCCATTGAAGCCTGATGCTGTTTACTGCTTTAGAGAGAGCTGCTCATTTCAGAAGCCTCCCCAAAAAATAATTGTGAGGATAGCCTCAGGCCCACAGACTGGAGAGGAGATGTTAGTGAAGAGGCGGGTGAGAGGTAAAAGAGAAAAAGAGAAGTGTTAAAAGAGGTGTGTGTGTGTGTGTGTGTGTGTGTGTGTGTGTGTGTGTGTGTGTGTGTGTAGTCACTCACCGTCAAGAAGGGGTGCTTAGAATTCTGGAGCACGCGGTTTTCTGTGAGCGTGTGAGCCACTTCATCCTGAGAGACAGATCACAAAGAGTGGTAGTGTACTTGGGTAATATGGTCTCTCTCTCTCTCTCTTTCACACAGAGCTGGTACAAGCACACTCACAAACTCTCATCTACATCCTGCTAAACACAGTGTTGGAAAAGTAACTCAAAAAAGGTAATCCATTACTAATAACTTCTCTCAACCCGTAAAGGGATTACTTTACTTATTACTTCCTGGAAAATGTAATCTCACTACTCATTCCTTTCCTTTTATGTTACTCTCTAAAGCAGGGCATGCACTACATGACTTTTAAAATCCTGCAGTTTTCTAAAATGGGGAGCATCACACATTAAACATCAGTCTTCTACAGAATTTCTTGTATTTTTAGACCAGACCAAGGCAAAAAAAGGGCATCACACACATAATGTGTTTAATAAAGTGTATAATATAAAAAGTACTCAAAATCCCAGATCTGTTATCATGTAATACTGACAAATTTAAATTGGACCAGACCTGTTTGTGCTTTTATGTGTAGTGAAAAAGCAAATAGAGGATGACAGATATCTCAGCGAAAGCTACAGAAATGCTTTACCAGAAACTTGAGTGCCTTGACACTACGTCTATACATTACAAATATTATAAATATTACAAAGCCTCTTATTTACCCGTGTTCTGTCTCCACTGTCTGCTGTACACACAAAATGCATTCATATCTCTTTGCGCCTTTTTCCTCTCTCCTAGCTGTCTTATTGGCTGATCACCTATTCAGTTACATGACTGACTATCTCGCAGTACAAGACTTGAACATTTTTAGTCATAAAAATCAAACATTTGAAAATATCTGAAGGTTTCCCATCATTCCAGAGCTCGACCGGAAGGCTAAAGATTGACTTTTTCATAGTACCAAATCAACAGTGACGTCAATCACTTCCACCCGAGCTCCAGACCTTAAAATCACCAAAACATTGTCAGAAGTTGCAAAGCAGAGTTAAAATCAGGGCTAAAAAAATTTAGTGCAGGCCCAGCTTACAAGACATCTGCAACATCTAGAAAATACAAGAGAAAATCCAATTCTTTCAGTACTTTCTTTAGTAAACCTTATTTAAAAGGGATGTCACTATCCCTGCCTCTACTCTGAACAGCAAGATATGTTTAATTAATATAATATATTGCTGATGCTGCTTGAAAATCTAGGAACTCAAGCCAGTAGAGACAGTCCAAAAACCGCTGCCTCAAAAAAATTTAAGAATAAAATCTAAAATGTAAATGTAAAACATAAGGTCTGTTTAAATGAAGTTGAGGCTTTCTCCTTTTCAGCATGGGGATCTTTAACCTTCAGTTTCATATAAGCACGACTAGCTGCTTCAACAGATTGTCCAGTTTACGTTGCTTCCTGCTCTCGCGCTGCTCACAATCTCAAAGTTGGGCAGTCAGCAGAAGCAGGCAGCACATGCACATGTAATTTACGTACGAGGGCAGGCACAGATCATCTATTTAAAGGAAATGTATGTTTTAAATGCATTGTGCATAATAAAACTTGTTCTCTTAGAGACATTAGTAGTGCAGGTAATTTCTTTCAAATCAGTTATTGTAACGTGATTACAAGAATTTGAAGTGTAATGCGTTACTTCATTTCACTACAAGAAAAAGTAATCACACTACTGTAATGTCTTACTTTGTACTGAGTTACCCCCAGCACTGTAAACACATACACACATTACAAACACAACATATCCACTCATACAGTAGTCGCAATGCACCCCCAGCTCTACCCACCCAATCCATTCTTCTTACATCACTCCCCCTCACTTACTTTAGCTACTATCACTTCCTTCTTAAGGATTTTCATGGCGTAGTATTTCCCTGTGGCCTTCTCCTTCACCAGGATGACTTTGCCAAAAGTGCCTTTCCCAAGGAGTTTGAGGTATTCAAAGTCATGCATAGTCTGAAACGGCACACAAACAAGACACGTCAAAAAATGGGACTGAGCAATAATCTACAAGGAGGTGGATGAGGCTATATTTGGTGACAAAGTGCTGCTGCTTACGCCAACCAAGTATTTACACAACATCTCCATCCACACTCTGCACATTTGTCCCCTATCCCTCATGGGCATACTCCACGCAAAAGATATACGTTTGACCTCTGAAACCCAAGGGCCTGTAAGAATGCAAAAAGTACATGTGTGGGAGATGTTCAGTCCAGTCTGGCAGGGAACCAGCATGTGTGTGTGTGTGTGTGAGAGTGAGAGAGAGAGAACATAAGGGGGAAGTGTGTTATATTATAGCGAAACAAGTCGGTCACAAAATGTGGCATTAAGCTTCCCACATCAGAGCCACACAAACTGTCAGAAGTCATGGATGTGTGGGTGGGGGCTGAAATTTCTAGAAAGAGCAGGGGTCAGTCTGTATATTGAAGGTTCATGAATAATATTATTTCCAAGTACCATAAATGTCTTCATGTCTTCAGAGGACTAAGGAGGTGGAGCAAAGGAGAATGCTTGATTAGGCTGCCTGTATTCCAAAAACGTCATACACAGAAAAGGTGAAGATTCTACATTAAATAAGTTAAAAATCACTGCAAAAGGGCACTGACTGATGCCCAGCCTTGGAGGAGAAAGGGTAGACTCTTATTTCTTCAGCTTATCTTCACTAATCCTCATATCTTTCTGTATTTAGCAATTTAAAAATCTATCAACCCCTTTTTTCTTACAACATTTCCTAATATTTGCTACATTTAGCAAGAAATGTTCTGAAATCTAACCTCACTGCAATCTTTTGGGGGTCACTAGGCGATCAAAAAGCTGAGAGTTGATAACTGGAGCAACTCTCAGCTCAAAGTAAGCAGGTTTTATTTTACAAATAATTACGTTTCTACTTTGATTAGAGTTTCAATTAAAAGGATGCTCTGGCTAGACTAGGAAATCCCCCTTCTGATGCCATGTCTGGTGGCTATTAAGAGCAGCCAAACACTACACACTGTAGGTCATCTGTGTAACTGTCATTTTTAAAATAAATTCTCCTGCCTTCTAGATACATCTTCAGGAAGTGCCCTAGTGTCCTTTAAACAGTGAATGGGCAGGGGTGCAGATCACCTACAATCAATTGTGTTTGGCTGCTTCGGACATGGATTTTGAGGCCCGCAGGAACTTCAGTTGACATTCAGTGTACTACAGTATCTGTCCACTACTTACAGTGTATTCAAATATTGCCTGTCTGTTCTGTCTGGGCATGGAACGTACCACTTTGTGCCGAGGTTTGGTCAGATACATCTCCATGTCCATAGGGTCAGGGGAGGAGTCCATCATCTCCTCCTCTTGTTTCTGCAGACTGTCTGCCACAGCCTGGATGGCTTTGGTCCACTCCTCCCTGCAGAAAAGAGCCCAAGTCAATACACCACAACTATAATGTGGGAACACCAACTCATGAGTTAGGGGTTTAGTGGTTTGACATTTTCATGGTATGGTAACCCAGTCAAAAACACATCACATTATCACGGAATACTAAGCAACTATTTTAAAATAATTATTAGAAATATGAACATCACTACTTGCATACGCCTGTAATTTAACAAGTGCAAAATCAAGTGCAAAATACCTTTGCACCTCACTGTGTAGCAAAAAAAACTCCAAAAAGTTCCTCATCACATTTGGTTGTCATTTTATGCCAAAATACAGTCCAAGTGAAGGAAGGTGCACACTGATCAAGAACAAGTCTCTTACTGGAGCTACTGGCTGACATTTGCCTCTGAAACAATCAGCTCACTTCACTAACTTGTGTGATTCAATACTACATGATTATTAGCCAACTACATTAAAATGTACATTAGAACTCTGCACAGAATAATTAAGCTACAAAAGAGCTGTGAGTTGTTTGTTAAGTTGTTCAGAAAAATGTGGAGTTGAGAGGGAGTGGTCACTAAAAACTAAAAGAGCTTTACAACCGCAAGTTTAAGGAACTGTAACTCATAAGCAGGAACAGATCGAAATGCATTTAATTGTTATTTTGGAAAAGCCAACGGTGAGGTAACCGCCTGTCCATACTCCACGACTAATAGTGAAACCATGATACTGTAACAACACCAGTGTGCATGTGTGTGTTTAAGCAGCACCTATTTTACAGCTACCACAGCTACTACTTATAGTCATATTATATAAAAATCTTTTCAAAATGCGTAAAGAGCCTTACAGTCGTTTGCAAAAGTTTGAACACCAGCAGTAAAAATACATGTTTTGTTTATTTTCCTCTACAGGAACTTAAATATGGTAATTTTTCTGCAAATTTCTGCACACAATTTCTAATTATTTACTTAGTTTAACATATTGGAAAAAAAATTAAACCTTATATATAAATGTGTGGTAATTTTTTCACAGGCCACATTTTATGTTAGTAACTGTTTATTATAATGTTCAGTATTTTGTTCTCTGTAGAGGATGTGTTGACTTATTGCAACAAGATGTAATTTGACCAAGGGTGGACAAACGTTTGCATACGATTGCATACATCATAAAATAACCTAGAATTCACAGAGTTAGTAAGACAGAGGGTGTGGTGTGCTTTTCTGACCGTTCCTCTGGGGTCTCCACATGGAAGGTGCGCTCAATGACAGTGGTCCACTGCAGGCAGCGTATGATAAATGTGTTGGGCTTGGGCCGCTCTGTCTTCATCAGCTGACACTCTGGACACGTCCAGGGAGAACCCCACCAAGGAGGGAGGGAGGGAGAGAGATAGAGATAGAAATAGAGAGAGAGAGAGAGAGAGGGAGGAGTGTCATGGTTACAGCCATTTATCTTTATCTCCATTTATCTCCAGCACTACATTAAACACACACGGTGGGGATCCTCCCCAGTCAAGCTGCAACAGAAAACAGGTGCACTATGGTGCACTATGGGAGTCCACACCGTTTAGTCCATCTTGCTTTGTACACAATATCTATGTTCAGTTTAAACAATCTCTCTTGTCTAATGTCCTGTGGTTCCCTTTAAGGTTGGAACTGTAATGTGGTTTATCATAGTAACAAAAGCAATGAGAAAGCTGGAGTCATCTTGGTTTAGGCTAATTTTTCTTTTTACCTCAATTGTTAAATTGTTGGAGAATGAGAACATCACTATGTGGATATGAAAGACATAGTACTTGCTTCTTTACTTTTGGATAATGTGGCTAACAAGTCATTGAAGCTTATATCCCACAGTTATCACAGTAAATCACACATATGTTTTAAACTGTGTTAAGTACTCTCAATTAGACTTATGTGGTTTGGGCATCGTATCGCAGCTGTAATCCATAAAAAAGCTGTAATAAATGACAATTGACAAAAGGACACTGGCTAGCAAAAAATGGCAGTATCTGCCATCTCTAAGTCTGAACTTTTCTCTGTTAGGTGTAAAAGGAAAATTGCACACATTAAATTGTTTTCCTTGGCAGCACTGTCAATACTGTAACAAGCAGCTATATAAAAAAGGAAAATGTGATGACCTTGTTGGAGTAGTAGTTGCAGAATAGCTCCTGTGCTGTACTAATGGTGTGTGAAGAATACTCCTATCCAATACAGCAGTAAAAACTTGTGATTAAATAAACACATCTGCTGTTTACATAGTGAAGATTTAAATGTTTTACAGAGATAAAAAGAGCTAATATTTCTGCCTGAAGCAGTGATAAGACAGAAGCAAGTTTGGAGGCAGTGACAGTACTCAGATGACTATCACTATATTGACATAATTGAGATGACTCATTAAACTTGTGCCTCCATGGTATACCAACCTCTCCTCGCAAGATGTTGCACTGAGAATTTCACTGATAACATTTAATATAGAAATTTAATATACAGAATAATATACAAAATATAGAATTTAATATACAATAAAATTATTATTATCCTAAAAATGTCTAATCTTTTGAATACTAAATGAAGTAACAAATACCAAACGAAGCAAGCAAATATCTGAGTGCTTAATCATTCAGGCCAGCCCTAGGTACAAGAACATATAAACATGTATCTATCTATTCATTATGATGAAGAAGCTCTATGGAATGGGGTTCAAAACCATGCACATAAAGTGAATCTCCACGACTATGGGCAAAAGATAAAAAAAAAAAAGTCTCTTAATGCATTCCGTCAGGAGCCTTCATGAGGGAGAGTCAGGGAGACTGACAGAGAGACTTTTTATCTTTTGTCCATAGTAACGTTATAACATTAAATGGCCAGGACCCCTGGCGGGTCCAAAGTTTTACTACATACTTCTACACATTAAGAATAACCAGTTTGCATTGTAGACCCTGTAATTACTGAATAATAAGCCTTCATAATGAGCCCGAGATTTTAAGGGGTTAAGAAGAGTACCAATGAGATTGTAATAAATGAATCTAAACACTATTGTCTTACTTGTTCTCAAACTCAGACACTGCATTGCAAATGCAACGTGTTGTCTCTAATACACAGGGTTACTTTAGCGGCAACAGTTTCCGGAAAAGAAAAGACAAGACAGTCAAAGATATTACTCTCTATATCCCCAATACGAAGGATACGTATATATTATGTACTGTTCCAGTGTATTCATGGAGATTACGTACCTAACACCAGAGTTAAAAGTCATGAGTCATGGATACGTCTCATGATTCGACACTTTTGTGTTCTCCTTGCTTACAGAGGAGTCCAGAGAAAACACCACATCAGCAGCAGTTTACGTCTTTTCAGCAGCACAACAAAAATAAGCAACAGCAACTAAACAAAACAACATGACTTGTGCTTTTTGAAGCGACACAGCACAACAGCGGTCGAACGGCCCATAGCATTATCGCCAAAGTCGCATTCGGAGCCATATGTGGAAGAGGAAGCTGTATATGGAGCCATTTGTGGTGGGGGAGGTGGAGGGGGGTTGACATAAGCGGCCTGTCGAGGAGATGGAGGACCGGTTTGGAGGACACCACTGTGATCCAGCAGGGCTCATCAACAGCTCCCGAAAGCCTTGCACCGCACTCTCCGTCATCAACATATACCAACATTGTCGGCGTTACGCCACTAACTGACTGACTGCCTGTGATGCTGAGGACGGCTGCTGCTGCTGCTGCTTTAGAGCCTAGCCGAGATAAATAATGAGAATCAGCCACCTAATAACGACTATAACTCACGAGTGTCAGGGAGGAAACGTTTTCTTTAACAAACAATACGGCTGTCTAATTAGCCTGTTCAATCATTTAAGAGACTTCTGGCAGGGATGGAGGGGCGCCGTTCTGCTGAGTTTGAAGGGAGAGCGTGAGTCAGAGGAGGAAACGTGTTTAGATGTGTTGTATAAATCAGCCCAGAAAAAGCTGAATCTGAAGTCTGCAGTTCTTTGGGCCACTCTGAAAATTCATTCTAATAAGTCATTAACTAACACTTTTTTGCTTAATACAGTGTCACCCATAAGGACAGCTCTCCTGTTACTAGGTGATTAAGAGCCTCTTTCAGCATTAAGGGGCATTGTACAAAAGTTTGGGGCCACCTTGTGTCCTTTTGAAATTGGAATTTAAAACATGCTTGCAACGGTTAAGTTTTGGGGTTTTTTTTTCAAAATTGATGTAGAATTTAATAATTAAAGCTACACTGTGTAAGACTTGGGGATGTGGAGGCCTCTCTAGTGGAAATGTGTAATTGCATGCAACGTGTGGAAGAACATTTCGTAACTTTGGTTGCACTTCAGACCCCTCCACCAAGCTGATGATTAATCTGATGACTGCAAGCGTTATGAAAGAAAAGCCAGTTAAAAGTTGGTAAACGACGTCTTCCAAAGTTGCAACTGAATTATCCAAGTGTCATCAGTATAATGCTGATTTTACAATTTGAGACCTAAACACTCAAGTTGGATCTTCTGTGCGTTAATGCGTGAAGACGTACAATGTGGTTTGAAAATTTGACCCGACATCTCTGACTTTTTGACTCCTGACTTTCTATTTTAACAAAATATAATACATAGTACAATTTTACAATGTAAACAGTGTCACTCAGAGTGGCTTAATGTGTAACGCACCCATCTAGAGGAACTTCACAGTGGTGGTGAAAGGAATCAGATGTCTGAAGAGTTTAATGTCTCTAAAAGCTATGTGACAGAAAGTTACTACACTAAATGGCTACAAATATGTTTCCTGATATCTAAGACAAGTGTATAGATGTCCTTTTTCATAGCAGAGAGGTACATGCAGGGCATTATAAGGCAAAACAGTACTCAAAGGAAATTTATTTAAAATTCACAGAATACATGTAGGTGCACTGGTAGTTTTGGACATCAAAAATAAAATGGCTATATTTGTGCTGTAGACGTCATGACCTTTGGTTCCCATCACCACCACTGCGAAAAGTTAAAAAGTTGAAAAATCAGTGGAATGAAATCTGGGCTCATCATCAAAGTGTCTTCCTTGGTATGAGGAGAAGGTTTTGAATAAATAATGATTTGCAGTTTTTCAAACTAATACATATTATTACTATTCATATTGCTGCCACAAATATTGACAAAGGTGAAGTTGTTTTCCTCAAAAGAAACCAGGTCAGTATTTAAATGTTATGTTACTGCAAACTGACAAAGACAACATATTCATTTGTATTAAAAACATTTTGAAAAGCTAGATGTCTTCAATATTTTGAACCCAAGACCTATTAGTTCAGTGGGATACAAACTTTCCCAATACCAAAGACGACACACTTAGATACTCACGTGCCACAGAGAAGTTATTGAGCGGAGTCTCCAGCTGGTCCACGTCCTGTGGCCGCTCCTTATACCCAATAAAAGTACCATCATTCTTCAGCAGGAAATACCTCGGCCTCCACGTCTTAATGTACTCTCCTGCACAGCAGAGAGAAAAAGACAGCAGTGTAAATTTAATATGGAAAACAGAGACATGTTGTTCTGATACTGCATGGCAGTCTGGAAGTTTATGTGAAACCTTTCTTGGAGATTTCAAAACAGAACTACAAATGATAAAATATCAAAGCCTAACTGTGAACTATTACTGCATCTGACAGCGTAATAACAAAAGCACAGACGTGTTTGTGGAACTTTCAAATACGTACTCCGAGCACCGAAATACCACCCAGTATTGACATGAGGCATTTATATGACTAAACACTTCCAAATTAAAAGTGCAACACACTAACTACAGCATCCACCTGAAAAAAATCAAACAAATCTGATTCCATCCATTCGCATACATATAACTGCGTGTGCTGTAGCTTCGTGGAAGACTACAAAAAAAAGATGTCAGCTTCTCAGACTTCTTTCCACAGCCCACACCTAAAACTGCTGTCGTTCACAGCTACAAACATCTATTTCTGCTGAAGACTAGAGGGAGACAGTGCGCCAGATGTTGCAGAATGTAGAAAAAAAAAGGAGGAAAAAAAAAGCTTACACATCAAAAAAAAAGACCCGACCGAAGCATCTGCAATGTGTCGGGGAGAAACTGAGACTGGAGAAAAGTTAGGAATGGAATAGTTCTCCAATAGCGCGAAAGAGAAACGCAATTCATTTTTAATTACGGTAGAGGAGTATTAACCCCATGCAGTGGCTGAGCAAGCTGTCCTTAATTGGTCGATTTCCTCCTTCCACTTCAGTCTGGTGTGGAGGGGGATCAGTCAGAGCTGACTGCTGCCTCTCTGCCTCTGCAGAGTTCGGGTCTGTTCCCGCTGTGGCGGACCAGTCAGTGAACAGAGGAAAGGTGGAAGACTGGTCTGGTAGGTCGAAGCTTTGTCACATTTACCAAAAGGTACAACTAATACAATTGTGTTCAATAGCATCATGTGCACAGGTACTTGAGTAACCATTCGAGGAACCAGTATTTAAAAACTGAGATCACTATTCGAGTACTCATTACATTTTGTTAGGGGAAGACTGAGAAAACAAAGACCTTCACTCCAAAATGCTGTATATCCATTTGTAACAATTTTGGATATATTTTGGTGTTTTTGAAAAGAAGAACAACTGATGTATAACGGAAAATACATTTTTATTTCTCTATTGAAGGTGATATTAATAATAACATAGCACTGAAATTTGACCAACAACATAACATGGAAAAAGAAAATCTTTAAAGTTCTCTACAATTCATTTTGTAACAAAACTATTTTACACACCAACATATTCAGTGAAACGCAGATTTTAAGTTTTAACAGAACGCAATGAAAATTTTGATGCATGAAAATTTTGCTTGTATTTGCTAGAAAATGTTATATGCTGCCCAACTCTGAAACACAAGTGCCTTCACGTGGGCATAATATCAAGGAAGCACTGTTAAGGACGTGATTAAGAAGGCAGAGATCACTTAACATGCTAGGCTGATGTCCAGGAATAGTTAAAACATCTCTAACAAACTAACAGGTTAGCACATCATCAACTGATGAGATGAAGAGTCTCCATCAGCATCCAGCATTCTACTGGTTATCTAGTTTTTGCTCATTAGCTCTGAGGTAGTATCTGTTATGTTACTCATTTGATCACAAACCTACTCATTTCCCTCAGCTATTTTTGAATAATAAAACACGTTTGGAAATGTATTCCTCTGCATGATACTAAGTTTGGCGCCACATCTAAAAAAGGGAAGCCACAGCTTTACATTAATTTCAGAGCCATTTTTTCCACTTCTACGTGGTTAACCTAATATCCGTTCATGAACTCACAGATACTCAAATATAAAAATTAGTTGGAATGCACTTCCCTAGTTGATATCCACTGATATTACAGTTTGCGTGCTTATCTTATTTAGTAGGGCCCTACCATTATATATCTGTTGGCCAACATATCAGCTGATATTGGCAACCTGCAGTTTTATCGGTGTCGGCACAAACACTGTCTTTCACTGATTTATTTTTTGGGTCACAACATTACTGGAACCCAAACCCACAATCTCCTAATTGTGCCAAACCTTATATTGTGTTCCTCAGTGGCACAACAACCTAAGTCACCTCCTATGTAACTATACGACAGTACCATCATTCTGACAGAATGCTGAACTGGTACATATGAACACAGAACACCATCATGGATCTAATAAAATGTGAACTGTATTCAGACTTCATCTGTAGTATCAGAATAATGTTATAATATGAAATGTCATAATAAATGTTATAATACAAAACCTTTTTTATGAATTAAGCAAAAAAATTGAACAATACAAGATAATACACATAAAACAAAACCACAAAGAATAATGAGTAGCTCTGCTGCCAGTGCCACAATATATTTCTGTTGTTGAGTCCAAGCAAAATTAAAATCTAAAATACAATTAAAAAATATCAGTCAATATTATCATTTATCGAAATTCTTAGCTCCCTAAAATTGTCATGAGCCACAAAATTTGCATGTCTGTCAGGCCCTACTGTTCACAGTAGGTAACAGTTTGGCTGATTTTTGGTTCAGTTACAAATGTTACAAAAATATAAAACACTATGAATATAATTATAAAATGTCATCAATGTTTTCAAAAAGGTTAGAAACAAATTAGAAATAAATCTTGAAACAAGCTAAAGTTAAGGCTGCAATAGTTTACATCTAGGACAACCCAGGACTGGTCTTAGAGCCTCCAGTAGTTTGGTGACATTTCTGCTCAAACACATCTGATTCAACTCATCTATTATTAACTCAATTTAGAAGTTGGCTCTGGTCTTTTTGTCAGGCTTCTCTGTCTCAACCCAAAGTAACCTGCACTTAGTGTAGGTGAAGCAGGCAAAAAACGCAGGTCATAACCCTCCACGGGGTCTAAATGGTTTTACTAAAGTCCCTCATGTCAACATGTAGTTCCACACAGCCATAATCCACCCAACTGACAATCATTTAGAGCGAGAGAAAGGAGGCTGGGCAAACCAGCACACTACAGAGAGAACATCCGCCTCCCAGTGCCGCGCGCTTAACGATTTTCAATTTGCAGCAGATGTCCAATATGTTATTATGGCTGTTGCCATTTTTCAACGCAGCATAGAGGGGAGGAGGACTCGATCTCAGACACTTGTTCTGCAGTATAAGGAGGTTCCACAATCAAAACACACTTTGTTTTAGGAGTGCTAATACTGCCAAGACTCAAACTCACAATGCTTAAACCTACGATCAAGGGGTAGAACAAGAGTGGCAGCCTTGTCAATGAATTCTCCAATGGGGTCTTTAAAGCTTGGTCGATTACAAATCTTGTAGCGCACAGAACAGGACATGTAAAGCAAAAATCTGTGGGTGTAGGCATTAAAAATCAATTCCATTCTGATCTCTTCTTCCCCCTGCTGAGCTGGTCCATGTGACATCATAGGTGCTCTTCCAATGGCCACAGTTTGATAGAAAATAAAGTGTTAAATAAGTTGATGTGACAGTAAGACTCTCAAACTCTCTATAGCTACAAAAGTACCTAAAGAAATATGCTAGATCAGTTGATGTCTGGGCAGACCAGCTTGACAGGAGGGCCATAGTCACCACAACAGCAACAACATTTTCAATGTTTATTTTATAAATTATTTTCTCTTTCAAACAAACATCAAACATCTCACTGGTTTTTGGTACTGAGGCATGCTTGTTAATTGCAAACACACTGTACATACAAATAAATGTGTTTCTGTTATTTTAGCCGCAATTTCTATTATTTGGCTACAAGATTCATTGTCCTGGTGGCTCTCTGACAGTCTCGGTTCAGTTTCAATCTTGGAGGGCATGAGTCCAGCACAGTTTGGTGATTTTATGGTTCTAACATAACTATTAAATATGGTCAGTAACCGATTAGTTACGAGCTGTGTCTGAGGAAAAAAGTCACCAAACTGTGCTGGACTCAGGCCCTCTAGGACTGGAACTGGTGATGCCTGATCTGCATCATAGTGTAACTGTTATTTTGTTTGTTTTTTTCTTGGGGGGGGGGGTTCTGTAAAGCAACCTTGTGATTGTGAAAGGCATTACATAATAAAGCTTAATTAAAAAAAAGTAACATGACATTTAATGAGAGTTTTCCTTCAAGAGCTTGCATTTGAATTGACGGAATTAATTAATTTCCCCAGGTATGTTACACAAATAAAAAATTTGTCTTGGTAAGTGCACACATGTATGACAAAATGCATAAAGCACATTATAGTATGTCTTCCAGAGACAGTTACCAGATACAGCAATGAGAATCTGGTTTGTTGTCCTAGAGGTGCTGGACTAAAATGAATTTCTTCAACTTAATTTACAGCCGTACTAATGATGAAGATGTCATCTTCAAAACTGCTCCAATTAGGACAAATCAAAACCAACTTCAGGCAGGAGTCCCACAGAATTATGTCTGACCAATTTTCCTCCCACTTCCATTCCTCCCACCCTTTTCTTTCATCCTTCTCTCTCTTCTGCAGCTGATCGGCTGCCAAGCAAGCCTGAGGACAGTATGTACACAGCGCAGTGTGCTGGGTGATGAGGTCAGAACCCAGAGCCACATCAGTCACAGCGGAGGAGATATCAGAGTCCCTCAACAGAGAAGCCAGAGCTACTTAAGGAAACGGAGACGGGCAGACAGAGTCTTTCCAGACTGATGACATGGTAATAAGTACTCACACTACGACTCATTCAACCATGTAAACTGTCCTGAAAGCGGACCAACAAACAGTCCATTTATTTGCTAACCAAGCACAAGCGCTCTCAGCAGAATGGGATAAATGATTGTTCAGAGTTAGTAGCTGAGGACAAATGTGTGCATTTGTGAACATGCGTATGAAGATGTAATTGTACGTAAATACGCAGGAGAATTCAGAGCTGCGAAGCTGTCATTGTGCGTATGTGTGCACTCAGGGGCACAGTGTCCAGCTTTTGCTTGCCAGGCTGGCTGACGTACACTGCCCACCGTGGTTGGC